TGTGAACTAGAACTACAAACAAACATATTTCAGATTAGTAGCTATTGCTATTCCATTTTCTCAGTTTGTGGAGAAAACTGTGGTTTATCCTCTGAATCAGTTTATTATTTGATGTGGCCAAGCCTCCTGTCCCTGGGAGGCAGCCACAGATGCCTTTCCTAAGCAGAACGAGGAGCAGAGCCGGATCACCGGGGCCGACCCAGCGAGCTGCCCGATGCGAGGGGGTGCTCTGCAGAAAGCAGCTTGGCCAAAGGCATGAGGTTGTGGACCTGCCATTGTCTCCAAGGAAGGAAAACAAAACTTTCTTGATTAACAGCCTTTGGGTTTTCTGCAAAACCAGGAAATGATAGATGGGATTACAGAGGAAGGGAGAGTGGAAAGATGGAAAAATGAGTGTAAAACAAAAAACATGTTAGGATGTGCCTGAAAGATAAGTAAAACCAGTGTGCCAGGGTGCTCCTAATGAAACAGAAATATTTGGGACACAAAGGAGTGTTATAGTCTGAAGTGTTCACTATTCAGGGTGTGGTTTCCTTTGAGAAAATGAGATTTTTAAAATTAAGCAATATCATAAACTAAGTATTAGCACAGACTATACTTTCATATTAGGCATGAAATCAGTCATTCAGGTATTATAAAATGCTTAATAATATCCCTGCTGTACTTAAATCAGTAAAAAATACAAGTTTGGCTTGATTTATTCACAAAAGTTTTCCTGCTGATATGCCCAGAACCACCCACAGGAATGCGAGACTGGAAGTGGACTTCTCGAGTCTCCCAAGATCAGGTTCCCCACCAGGATAAATCCTGTCATAAATTGATAAACTCCATCTAAAAATAGGCAAGATTTATGCCTCCGTTGCTGTGATGAAAGGCAGCCCTAGATTCCTCCTCCCTGGTAGCTGGAAGGCGTCCAGCTCCCGGATGGCCAACATCCCCGACCCGTCCTTGCCTGCTCATGTGAGCAAACTCGTGAACACAACTCTCTTTCAGAAGGGAATAAGCATCAGTTCTAAAACACCGAGAGACTGGGATTCGGCCTGTGCTATGGATGAAGTTACAACCACCGGATGCGAAGGATGTATGGGCAGATAATTAATCTGCAGTGAAGCTGGTTGCAGGGAAGCCACTGACAGCTCCCTTGGTTGATGAGAAACAGTGGCTCTGCAACATTGGGTTTGGCTGGCAAGGATTCATTGATTCAAAAGACACAGAGCCTGTTTGTTGTTCATTTTCAGAAACATCAGCTTCTGCTCCATATCAAAAGCCAAAAGTAACATTCCTTTTTCATTTTTCATGTAGTATTGATTTTTTTAGTTTATGAAATGAGAAAGGCTTTAGAAATGTTAGTGTTTTGTTTCTACAAACAAATGTTAATTAGCATAACTTTTTTCTAAGTTTATATACCTCTCAATAAAAACTCAGTAATTTTAACACAAGGAATAATAATTTCATTTCCTTCCTTGTTTTTCAAAGTTCAAATTATGTGTGAAACCCAAAGCTGCTTTTTTCTTCCTCCAACTTGTTTTAAAACCCCAAAATTTAAATCAACATTAAAATAACATTATAAAAATTATTTTAAAATAGGTAAGGAAAATCTAGGCATGTAACAGTAGTTTTTACAGTGCACCAACTATATTTTTACATGCTTAGAAATTGTATGCAATATAATCAACATCATTATCTGTAATATACTGTATCAAAATATGAAAAAGAAACTGTTCCCTATAAAATTAACTACCTCTTTGGTGTCAACCTTTAAGGGAGTTCATATGGCAACACTAATACTGTCATTGGAAACTTCAGCTTTTCTTTTCCTAATATTTTGTAATTTTAAATTTATAACATTAACTTTACAACCAATATACTGCTTGCTTCATTCTCCTGGTTTGTGATAAATTTCTGTCACAAAGAAGCACAGAGAAAGAGAGCATACTGACTTTCAAAACATCTGTCTAAGCCTCAGCTTCTCTGACGTTGGAGATACATCGTATCTGAAGTTTTCACAGAGCTCTGAGAAACAGAGATAGCTTTAAAGTTTACTTCCACATCCCCACTTGCCCAATTTCCAGTGCGGCCTAGGTCCAGGGTTTTGACTGAAGCTCATTTCTTAATATTTAGCTAATTTAAATGCTAATTAGACTAATTTGATGAATAAAACGTGGTAGGAATTCATTAACAACTTTGCTGCTATTGCTTGATGTCTACAGAGAAATTTTCTAAAACAGGGCTCCAGGGACAGCAGTGCATCTGTTAGCAGTCAAACAAGTTGGATTTTTTGTAATACTAAACCTTGGAGTTGGTAATGTATTGCAGAATTGTAAAGGAGGAGCCATTTAAAATTTTTCAGATCTAGCCCATCTTGGACATAGGCCACTACTGAAGAAGAGGTCTTATGCTGTCCTGGGCCCATCTGCTTCATGGGGTTTGCTCCAAGTTTTACATACAGAGGAAGAAAATGTGCCTGATCTCTGTCTCCCATTACCTACTACAGTCATTCTAGCTGATACTACAGTTGTTCTGCCTGACGTTATAGCTGCCTATACAAAGAACTCAAACTGTTCACCTGAAGTCTGATACTGTGGATAGACAGTTGTGGATGCCTCGTCCCTGAAAGTGTTCAAGGCCAGGTTGGATGAGGCTTTGAGCAAACTGATCTAGTGGAAAGTGTCCCTTCCCATGGCACAGGGGCTGGAACTAGATGATCTTTAAGGTCCTTTCCAACTCAAACCATTCTATGATTCTATCATTCTATGACTTTCATGATTTTGCTGAGCCCCATGAAGTCAGTGAGGCTCCATAGTGGTGGAGCAGAAACAAAACCGAATAAGACGATCTTTTTGGAAGAAGAGTCTTGGATTTTTTTGTTTTGTTTTGGATTTTGGTTTGGTTTGGTACGGTTTGCTTTGGAGTTTTGAGTTGGATTTTAATTTTTTTTTCTTTTTTTCTGCAGCATGTGCCATTGTCACAGTCAACAAGGTACTTAAGCAGATGCCAAATTTTCAAGATGTGATTTTGAATCTGTTCACAAGAAAAGCTGCTCTTAGGCTTAATTAGGTGACTGAACTTTAGTCTGAAAAAGACAGAAAAGAAGAAGCCCTATGGAGAACTTCCATAGGTCTTTATAAGGAAGAAAAAGAGGCTTCGCTAAAAAGCTGGCAGACGGTAGGAAAGCATGCCTTTCTTCAGAGCCAGTAGGTAGCAGTGTTATGGCAGTGTGTGTCACAGTTAGCTTTCTCCCAAATTATATCCATGTTTCAGAAGCTCTGGGATAAGACTACCTTCTGCTACCCAGGGCTATTTTCCAGGTAGCACTGATGAGGAAACCTGGCTTCCTTTCACGTGTTCACAACCATATTCAAAGTACATTTCTACTCAACGCTATTATTATTTAATGCTGCCTGTCTGCTAGGAACATACAGTACTCCCTTTTCTGAATAAACGAGGCTGCTGCAGGAATTGCAATGCCGTCAGAAGTGAAATGGTCCTATGCAGAAGTCTGCCAGCAGGCAGTATTTTAATGCGAACAAAACCCCAGCCATTTTTCACAGGGAAAATAAGTTTTCCCTGCTTATCTGACTAGTAATTACTTGTTCAACTGAAAATAACTTTTCTTGGTGATTGAGGTCTGAACCTCATTCCACTCAAAATCCGTAGTATTTATGTTGTGTCAGCTCCTCTGATTCTCCCCCCCTTAACTTTCCCATGCCATTTTAAATTTAGTTTAGAACTTATGAAAACTGAGAGCACTGCAAATGATGAACTTGGTGTATCTGAATGAATACAGTATATATTTGTCGAAAAGCATGTGCACCTCACAATGTCGAGTCCTTCCTAGTCTTCCAGTGTTTCTCAGGCACGATTTACCTGGAGGAGGGGTGAAAATGTTTTGTATCTGGTGTGTCACCTGGGACTCATGGCTGAGACTGACCACAAGGAAAGCAATGGTGATAAAGTTCTGATGCCATGAGGATGTTTGTGTAATACTTACTGACAGAAAGCATAAACTCATGTTGTCTTTTGCAAGTTCTTTATGATAGGGAAGCTTTTTGTTCATAGTGGTTTTGGTATTGTTGAGCTGAATATATTGTAAGGAACTGAAAAGGTCTTATACAACTTTTACAGAATGGCAAAAAGTTTTGCTAAAAGAGACTATTTTGGGCTCTGATCTCCTCCTGTGTCAGCTCCCATGGCTGAATTAGTCTGTGATTATATTAATTTGCATGTAGAGCAGCAGCCCCCACAGGGCCACCTAAAAAATCCCCCAGATTTAGGGGAAATATGGATTCAGGTCTCACCCTGCCCAAGATTTTCTGTGATACTCTCAGGCAACTCAAAGGCCTGTAAGTATCTTTCTTCTTCTGAAGATATATTTCATGCATGACTTTTGAGTCCATATATGTATTTAGATATTTAATTCTGATGAAAAAAAAATCAGTGGCAGACAGAAACCTATTTCATAGAACCACAGAACCTCCCTACCCCAGGAAACAAGATCTCCTATTTCCTTCCAGAGAGGGCTCACATTTTCCCAAGTCCTGCTTTTATCACTGACGTACCTATATTTTTTTTTTGTGTTGCTTTTGATGTCCCTGGCCAGATTTAATTCTACCAGGGCTTTAGCTTTCCTAATCTGATCCCTGGCTTCTTGGACAATTTCCTTGTGGATCTAGGCCTTACTATTCTTTGCTTTAGATTTCCACTTGTAAATATTATTCTACCTCACAAAAGAGTCAAGAAGATAAACACGTTACAGATTGTGGGTGATAATAGTTGTGGGGGCCATACACACATGGTATCATAATTGAAACAAGATAGGAAGGACTGTAGAGCAGGTCACCTGTATTGAAAATACTGTTCATCAGTGAAAAAGTTCCAAATCACTTTACCACAGTTTTAATTTAGTTCTGTGCTTGTTGTTTGTTTGAACTTTTGTTCCTGAATGCCAGAAGAGAATGTAATTCAGTTTACAAATATTTCAAACGGAGGCCAGTACTCACTTCTACATGTTGACAGGTCTGAATGAGTTTCGCCAAAAGAGTTTCCAGTTCAGTATTCCTCTTAATAAGGTTGGTGAGATTACTCTCCAAATTTTGCTGTCAAAAAGAAAGAAAAGAACACATTAGCATATTGAAGAATTTAACATTTAGGTGAACAGTTTAAAAATGGGTATAGTTTCAGGATCTGAATTTTGTAATTACACAGGTATGACATGAGACTTTCATTTTTATATGCTCCATTAGATGTTTTGTATATGCATGAAATATGGTAAGACAAGAGAGTAGAAAAATTCTTGATAAGAGTAAGTTCTAGAAAATAGAGTTTCCAAGGACCTACTAAAAACTAGATTAAGCAATTAGTTTTAGTCAGGGGAAAAAAAAAAGAGTAAGGAGAACAGCAGGGATGCTAAAGACATTTCATCAAAAACAAGTGGTTTATTTTGGCTGAGAACATTTTTTCACTCCTTATTTCCTGCCCTCAGTCTAACATTTGAATTTAAAAGCCTATTGCTAACTGAGGTCTCCGAGCATGTGCCCCTTTGGGACTGTACTTGTAAGGACCCAGTAGATAGGTCAGCACTTTCTTCTTGGGATTCACTATGCTGGGGGGAGATTGATCTAATTGATTTAATTCCTGGTTCAGTACAATTATATCTTTTAATAAATAATTCTAAAGAAAAACATCCTTTCTACGCACAGGAATGAAATATCTACTCACAGACTGTGCCTTCATGGATTGTTCTTAAGAGAGAACTTGTGGCTTGTGTCTGTGTTTATCAACTGATTAGGGCTGCAATAAATATCTGCAACTGTGGGAGCTCGGAGTGCTTTCCAGCTTCCAGATCTGAGGCCACATCCTGGCCACTGTACAATCGCATGTGAGATTGAGATCTAGAAAAAATGTTTCAGCCTCCTTTCTCCCCTCCATATCCACAGGAAGGAAATCCATGTGCATGAGGAGAAGGTCTGTGACGGCTGTGACCTGCTCCCTGGTCTGGCTGCCTTAGGACCAGGACCCTGCGGTGCACTGTGGAGCTTGCAGCTACCAGCTCCTTGCTTTTTACTATACATCCTGTGATAGCTGCTGTTCTACAAGAAATTCCATCTTCTGGAAGCACATGGGCATGAAAAAGTCGTGGTTTTGCATGAAATGCAAAGTTTCCACACAGATAAAAAAGCCCTGTAAATCTAACTTGAGTACATAAAAAAAAAAAGCAAAAAAAAAAAAGCAGCAAGCTATTAAAAAGACTCCTGACTGTAAACATTTATTTCAGTAACTTCAGGGGCATATATTTCACTTTGAAAATCCTGCTGGTGTGACAAGCTGTTCCTCACAGTTATTCACCTATGTAAGTGCGTGAAACTAGTCCCTTGCTCTGCGTTCCTGACAGGCCGACAGTCTCTGCCTTTTAATTGTACTTTGTTCTCCGAGCAGCTCCTAATGTCTCGGAAGCACTGAACAAGAATACCAGAACTGAGCCCTGTGCTTCTCTCCTCACAAGGGCTGTAGTGCCTCTGCAGAGCTCTCATTAATTTCATCCCTCCTCATCTTTTATTAATGGGCTTCTTCACACTACTACTTTACCCCCCTGATGTATCTATTACATGGCTTAAGTCCCTTCAGCTACCATTAATTCACCTGACTTCTCTCACCTTCCTCCCCCTCTCCCTTACCACCTCCGTGTACACATTTAATATATGTGTGTGCGGGTGTGTTTTCTGCTGCTGTTACTCTCTGCCTATTTCATGCTGTTTAAAACCACTTTGTTCCTTGTCCTCCCTTTCTGCAGCCATGCAGTCTCCTTACCCCTTCTCACATATGGCTACAAACAAATGAAGCTGGCAGTATTTCACTGCTGCCTACTTTGGCATTTACCAGGGCTGATGCTGTAAACACCAGAGGAGCAGTCAGTCCTGTTCCATTAAAGATAGCACGGGATTTTGATAGCTTTACGTATATAACCCTTCTGAGAAGCGTGATGGGTGTTTGAAATATATAATTTTGGCATTTTCTTCCCAGCACAACCATGCATATCAGGTATCACAAGCCCTGGCGGTAAAAATACCTTCTACACTGCATTTATTTTATAGCCCATTAAAACAAAGAGTAACAAGAACGGGCATTCTTTACTGAACAGTTTGAGCTGTATCTTATATTTCCATAAGCTGTACTGTGAATAATCATTTAATTGCAAAGGCATGTTTGCCGTGCTGTTAGATGTCCCTTTGTAGAGCTGAGACTCACGTGCACAGTCAAAATACCATATACAGTTACAGTATCAGATAACCTTTGTCTTAAAAACCCAGCTTGTTAAGGAAGTCCAAATGTGTAAACACTCTTGAAATTATATTTATATACCTCTTATTGCCCATATATTCATTTTGTACATGTTCTAATATTTTATACTGAAAGACTTAAAATGAAAAATGCATATTCTTGATAGGGATTGCCTAATTTCAAATGCATTACTGGACACAATAAATGCTAAGAGCTGACCTACACATACTATGAAGAAAAAAACGTTCTCAAATCTGTTATGGAATACTGCAGGGATTTTCAGTAACCTGAAAGTGTCTTCCACTAAGGCCATTAAAGAATGAAGAGTAAGCAGTCTTCTCTGAAACAGAAATTTTTTACCCATTGATTATATATGGATTATTACAGATAAAGAACAAACTTTTAGAATAAGTTTTCTATCCAACGAAAATAAATATAAACCCATATATATCACATGGGTCCCTTGGTGTCCTTTGCATTTCCCAACCATAAAAATGGAGGATAACTACTAAACAAGTTGCCTTACAAAAATTAGAGTTAATGCATTCCTGTGCCCCAGCTTCTCAAACTGTGACAGTTTCAAACTGGCAAGTCTTGAATTTTATTTCCTTGCAGTTTGGTATGCAAGAGATTGGAGTCTTTTTAAGTCAAGAATTATCAGAATTTTGTTAAACTTTTGTTGAAGAACATCAGTGCATATTAATGTTTTACAAGACAGCAAGAACCTGGCAGCTGCTTTCTGAAATTAATGTCAATCTTTCCAGTTTCACTAGGGCAAGTACTGAATGGCAGCTCTTAAAACTGGCCTGACTTGAAAGTTTTAAAGGTCATAAAACTCTTGTAGCATGTTTATCTGGATTTTCTCCTGGCAGCAGTTTCTTTCCCCTATTCCATTGCCATACAGACCATGGCACCACTTTGGCTACCACACGATAGTACATCCCAGAGGTGGAGTTCAGGCCCTGCACTTTTACTTTACATGGGGGGAGCTGGAAAGGGCCTGAAAGACTTTCAATTTTCAGAACTTGCTCACAGACTTTCCAAAGTGTCACAAACTCATTTCGCATCCACACCTGAAACTTTCCAGGTTGTGTAAAACTTCAACACCAAATTTGGAGTGCTGGCCACCTTGAAAAATTGAGCCAGTGCTGTAGACCATAACTCCTGGGATAGTGAAGGGTAGCCAGGTTTTAAGTCTGGAGAAAATATTCTCTCACATTATTATACGTGAAAATTAGTGGTAGAATAAGTTTATTCAAAGTATCTTCCTTTCTCCCACAGAAATCTTCTACTGTTGTTCTGTTAGGTGAACCAAATTATAATGGTATTTTTGGAAATGTTCTAGGTAAATCATAATTGCTTAAACATTTTCATCTGGCTTTCCTAATCTTTTTTGTCACTTGCTAATTTTCATTGTTACCTGTCTATTAAAAGAAATGCACGGGTTGGTTTTTAAAAGGACAATAGCTGTTGTGCATTTGCTCTGTGAACAGGCTTCATGCGTGTTAACTTGGTGGATGCAAACTGTTCTCAAAAAACAAAAGCCAGGCTGAATGCTTCCTGACTTACAATGCAGACCTAGTCCAAGATCTTGACATTCCATGCGTGCTTTGCAACTGTTTTTGCAATATCCAGTATAAAGTGAAAAGAACGCTTACTGTCCATTTAGCATGGTCTGACAACTATACAACATAAATATTCTTATAATCTTGGGCTAAATCCAAGTAGATGAAATCACAATCAAGTAATTGAAAAGGACAGTTGAGGATGATGTTTCATTTTGACTCTGCGTGCCTATAAAATGATACCAACCAGGGACTGGAGTCTGAAGTTGGAAAAATTAATGCTAAAAATTAGAGGAAGGTAACTCAAGACTGGATGCCTTCTTTAAGCTCATGTCTCGCTCACACCGAAGTCATGATCTTGATGCAGTAACGATTGCGTGAGGCTTGTGCCCTGATTGAAGTGGGAGGTCAGACTAGATGATCATAATGGTCTCTTCTGGCCTTTAAATCTATCAGTCTATGAAAACCAAATGTGAACCCATGCCCTTTGCCAAATTAACAGTCTCACGCAAAGCATCGCCTGTCTAAAATAGGAAGGTAGCACAAACAGATAGTCCTGAGCTACTACATGGGTTGAAAACGCTGTCAAAATAAATTAATGTAAGCTTCTAAAGAAGAAAAATGCTGAGTTGTGTGCTCCTGCCTTACGTCACAGCAGAGAAAACAACACCACCCCCGAGACTTTCGTCTCAGAGGCATTTTTCTGCTCCATAAAAAACGTCTACTCAAAGGGCCACAAGATAAAACGCATAGCTATCAGCTACAATGAGATTTTAAATTGCATTTGAAGTAAAGCTACTGTCTTTTTTTCATCAAAAATATTCTTTTCCCTTCCATTGCTTAATACAAGCATTCTCCACTTACTTAAGAGCCTTCTCAACATATATACTTTTCATTTGCTCACTGGAAGGCTTTGAGAACCGGTCCACTCAAACCGTATCACGTGCTAAGACTCAAACACTGTGGGATGGTACTTTGTAACAACAGCCTTGATAACCGTTTACATTAAATCCACCATGATCAAAGTTTTCCGGCAGCAAACATTGACAGCAGTTTGCATTTCCTCTGCTCCTGGTGTAGAACTGACCAGAGTAAGGCGTATTTTGAGGCTTCTTGGTTTAAAGAAGAAAATAACCTTGAAGAGCCTTCTGGGCTTATCAGAGCCCTGCATAGTGGAAATTAGGTTTGCTAATTATAAAGGTTTCATAAGAACCACAGCCACTCTCCTATCATCTCTTTACAAATTGTCTGAG